TTCAATCTTCATCACACGTTATGTATCCCCCATATCTTCCTATGTCACCAACTGAAGCACAGTTAAGAGCGGGAAACAAGCCATTTGCTTTCCAATCTGCCACCAGTAGCGTTAAGGCCGCTGAATCTCCTTCCACTGAGGGCTGGTGCCAATGCTGCCTTGTGATGGAGTAACTATGGGAAGCCTACAACGTGAGGAACAAGCACAATAGCCGTGCTACAAAGAAAGAACGGGAAAATTCAACAAAATTGTCCTGGTAAGCATAGCAGCAAGAAATGGATATGTCTTCTTTCTCTAATTATCAGATATGTACATTCCTCCATTTGCCTCTTTCTTCTGGAAACACATTTTCTCTCTTGATTATAGTCCTTCCTCCATTTCCTTCTCTTGCCTCTTTTCTTCTCTGAATACAGCTACTTAACTATCTACTAATCTCAAGTGATCTCTCTCATTGCTCAAGATAACTTTTTCTTTGAAAGTTAATCCCTTATTGAACACTTCTGCTAAGAAGGTCACAAGGAACTGTAATTTGTTTAGCCAGTTCCCACCCTTGTGAAGTAGACAAGACTCCTATTTTCCTTGCTGTTTACAGAGAGGAAGATGTGTCACCTCCATATGAGTATAGCAAACTTTCTAAGTAACAGATGAGAATATTTTTTTTAGTTTTCCTGAGGGTATCTAGGCAGGATGACAGCAATGAGAGACTAAAAAGCCAATGATGAACTACTTCACAGCCCAAATGAACTTGATTTAGTACTTTACTTTTTATCCCATCACCTCCAACTTCTTGGCTTTTGTATCGTCCTGCTGTTTGTGCCCGCTTCTTGTATTTGCCCTCCTGCTTTTATTAGCCCCATCATGCCTCCAGCTCATTTCTTCTCTTGTCTCTGTTCGCATCACCTCATTTTCTTATTCCTACCTATAAAAGACAAAAGTTAATCTGTATGTACTATCTCCTAGCATCCATAGTAGACTTTCAGCCATCTAGTCTATCACTCTTCTGCATAGGAGACAGGCTACTTTCTCCTTATTCAGACTATCTAAATACAGGTACTTATCTAATAAATCTTCTAGATCTGAATTTAATCTGAATTAATCTTAATCTGATACAGAGACTGATTCCAGATACCCACTAACTGGACACTAAAAAAAATCTTCAGCAACGGAGGTTCCAGACAATACAGGCTTTGTGTGGACAGCATCATCAGATACCCTCTTTATCTGCAGTGCAGAAATTTGTAGTAACTAAGCATAAACAGCAATTCTCAAAGGCCACAAACTGACAAAACACAATGCATCATCACCAAGGCTACCTCCTACTAAATTTTTTGTTTCTACTCCAAAGATTGAGACCAGTGCAGCTTTGTAGTGGAAGAACACTATGACTGTGTTATTATTATTGCTGTTTCCAAAATATTCCCTTTCCCCTAATCTCACTGCCAAAATTGCAAACAAATCAAACTTCGAACTGCCATCTATTCTGAGGCTCTTCCGAAATATTCATTCTTGGATGGGAAAGTTCATCCAAAAGGTTAAAAATTCACAGTTGCAAGCTTAAACCTATCCCTGATAAATAGTAGGTTGCCAATTTCCATTTTTGCTTTTAATATTTACATGCTTAAACACTGTTCACTTCTTCACATTTGAGTGTAAATGAAGACTACATAGGAATAATTATTCACATGTAGCAAAGTTAATTGTGGTTTTGTGGTGTTGCAAAAGTGTGGGGGGAGGTGGAATTTTCCAGATTCCTTGTCATAAAAGCCATTAATGAGCAAAAGGAAAAGGGAAAAATAATAGCCAAAAGTCATAATTTTGAAAACGGAGAAGTTGTAAAATGACATGTAGCTCAATCAATGTGATTAATTTGCTTCACACTTTGCAGAGGCTTTCGCCTTTGCCTTCTAATTCTGGCAACTATTCTGCTGAATCAATCTCACAAACCCAAATTAATAAGGTGGGAATGACAAGTATGGCTTTATAAAGGTTAGCTGTTTGCAATTTAGACAGTAAGAGACCACTGTCTGCTTATAATACGATCAGGCATAGTTTGACAGGAAAATCTCTTCAGTCAAAAAGCCAAAGTTACCAAGTTGTGAACCTGTCAGTCCTCAACTTTCATTCATCTGAATGAATTGCGAGTTCCATAAATTTTTGCCTTCAGTGCCTAGTTTGGATAGTTAAAAGCCTCTGTTTTTAGGTGATGCTTGGATTTACATAGCTGGGGAAGTACGAAAAACATACAATGGTTTGAAGCCTCACTAGCACCTCCTCCCCAACAGTTGTGCCATTTGCTGCCCACGTCTCTTGATTCCTGCAGGAAGCCCCACTACTCATTTGTCCTGTGGTTCCAGGTCAGCTGGGAAGAAACCCCGGGGGAGGGAAATGGGGAGCCAGGACAGGTGAATATTTATAACCAGTAAAATCCCCTTACTTTCTAGAGCCTTTAATGGCCCATGCTAGCAAGAGGAGAATGCAGAAACAGCATAAAGGATTCCCATGCCAATTCTGATATTTTCCAGGAAAAGGAAACCTGTCACATGAGAAAACACAGATCGACACTTATTTTTCCCTCCTTTGAAGCTATCTGTGGTTTACAGGCTGCCAATACTGTCAAAGAGCAAAACACAAATCAGAAAGTCAGGCCCTCAAAAGAGAAATTAGAATGCATTTATTTGCTCTCTAACCTATTTGGTACATATCTCATTTTCAAGCTTTTATTCATGATGTTAAAGAAAAAATACCATCTTTTAATTTCAATACTGAAGCACTACAAAGAAAAAAAAAGGTTATGAATGATTAACAGATTCATGACAAAAATCATGAGAATTAGTCTCACTTTTAGTATTTACTATATATAATACAGTCACAAACCCTTCCACTAAGAAAAGGGCACAAAAGAAATTTATTTGCTTTCCAGATTAGTTTTGTCTTCTTGGGTTCTACCCTCAGAAAAACATACGTGGCCTCATGCTAACGACACTTAAGATGTGACACTGAAGAAGCAGGACATTCAACAGAAGTTGACAACAACAAAAACCAATACGTTTCTAGTCTCCCATTCCATCCTTTTCCAGGGATATTCTCAACTTACTTCAAAGTGGGACTTTCTGTCACACTGCCTCAGCTGGAAGTAGATTAGGGGTTTTATGTGCCCCTTCATCCTCAGAAATTTCCTTTCCAACTTTTCTTCTGCAGCTGTTGCAGTGGATAGGTTTAAGATTCTTTTATAACTACAACAGACTTAGAAAAAGAACTGCTGGGGAGTCAAAACATACTCAGCTTGAAGAATCAGCAGATGTCCTTAATAAAACGTGATAATCAAGATTCAGATTTAAATGTATTCCCATTTAATTCCTGATCTTGTTTAATACACTGGCCTGGATTCAGTGTTTTTCCTGAAAGATGTGTTCATTAAAGGGAAGTGCCAAGATAACTTAAAATTCAACATGAATTTGCAATATTGATTGCTATAAACAAACAAACAAAAAAATCATGTATTTTTCTGAATTTCACCCAAAACAGTAGTATTTCCATTGGTGAGCCCTGTAAATGCAGCAAGAAGTACAGAGAAAGAACTAAATCAAACTGGTATGAACTGATAGTGATGCACAGTCTTCCATCACTGACAGAAGGAACTCAAGAGCTGCCAGTATAACAATTATGCAAATAGTGGTTTAAATAATTATTTAGTAATGCCAGTAACAGGAACAGTACTTTTTTTCAGCTAAGGAAAATGGTGTCTGAGAGGCACGTGAACAAGTGAACGCACAGTAATTGTTGTATTTGTTTACAGCACAGTTATAATAGCACTTAACTCCCCCTGTTTGTAAAGCATTTCCATTCATAATCCGGTCTCTCTTCCTTCACAGTAAGATTTGTAGCAGCTAAACTCTAAACTATTGACTAGACTGTTTTGATCTCTTAGGATGGCTTACTAAGTATCAAGAACCTGTAGCGCAAAAAGTGACTAATTATTTTTTCAAAAGTTTGTAAGCTACATAGAGGACATGTAGAAAATACATTTTCATGCCTTCCCCACGGATGACTGAAGACTCTGCAGGAAAGACTAATATTCTGCAGTCATAACATTTGACTATTCAAAAGGATTTATTCTACTTTGTCCAAGACAGATGAAAATAATACAGAAACGGGAGCATATCAAGCTATCATGCAAAAATGTATGTCAATATCTGGGAAAGAACAGAAAGACAGAGAAATCATTGATATCCAAATGCCTGAGGGGACTGTGGACTAACAGAAGATCATCACCACAACAACTCCAGCTATTTGATAGGCATCCTTACCTGCAGAAGACAAACAATAAAGCAATCAAGTGGAAATCTGGCAGGAAGAAGGTTAAATCAATGTTCTAAGTAACAGTACATGATAGTGCGTTTTTTCTGTCAGCTGAATGGGAAACAGCACAACCTTGCAGGCTGAACACTGGGTAAGAATGAATTGGTGTGGCTTATGCTAAAACACCTCTATCTTCAATAATTTGCAAGTAACGAATGCATCAAATAGGCATCTGCAACTTTAAAAGTTATCCTTTCAAAAATCACTAGTTTTCTACCATGCATAATAAGCTCTATAATAAGCTCTATTTTAATCCTAGAATCTACAGACACAATCTGTTTTTCTAGCCATGTTTCCTAGGCAAAGAAGCAATGAACAGACATGCTGCATTGCTAGCTTTGGATCTGATAATAATTGACTTCTGAGGCCTGTTCTCTACAGTTAAATACGTAGAAAATAACATTCTTGGAAGAAAACATTAAAGGCAAGACGATTCACCTCCCTGAAAAGTACATCTTCCAACATATTTAAATATTTACCCCTTACCCCTTACCAGACTTAACTCCACAAATGACTCATTTTCCTACTTTCAGGGTACTATATTAATAGGACTCTTTGTACATTTTAAACCAAAAACTCTTTTTGACCAACTGGACACAGTTTGGCCAGTATTCCCTCAAGAGGTGGGCTACAATGATTACCTTTATTACAAAAGTATTCCACTTCTTCACAGCTCAGGTTTTCAGGCTCAAACTCTGCAGAAAAGCTTTCCTCCAATGGAAAGTCTTCTTTTGAGATAGTATCATTTTCCTCAGACAGGCACTCTTCTTCTTCATCCTCAATGGCATCCTCAAGGGGCCCTTTAAAAAGAATCAGGAACACTGTGGCAAAACCATCTAACAGGACAATGTGAAATAAAACCTTTGTGAACTTATAACTGGAGGTCTTTAGCTAGTTTTTCCTTCCACGGCTGTGTTCAGCATTTATTAGAATTGGACAAATAACATTTTATGGAAATTGAAATTGAAAGTGACTGTTTTCCTGATGACTTCAAATCAGAATATGCAAAGTGTTATTAATAATACTCACACATGGGTTTTTTTCATTATTCGTATTCTAGTATTAAATGCAGACAGTTTTAACAATGGAAATCAAAGCCATATTTGTAAAACCACGTAAACAGTGAAGAGCCTTCTATTGTTTGTTAGTCATTGTTTTTTGATGCTGAATTACAGTACTTAATAGGTTCCCTTAACAGGCTTCATTTCTCAAATTACCAGTACTGACAGTGAATTACTACAAAGGTATTGACAGCGTAAACTTGAGCTTATTCTGCTATTTTGCTTCATCCAGCACCTGACGGTATCCATGATCATTCATTTGCTAGACTTTTTAATAGACTCCCAGTCAATGGATGGGACTCGGACAGACTATCACTTCATTTCACAAGGGCCAACCAACCATTGTGGTAAACTACTAGCTGAGGGCTACAGAAACATAAGGCAGTTACAGAAGCAGGGCACGAGTCTGAATTTGAAACGGCAGCCTGAGGTCTTTGATTCTTCTTCTAGTTACCTAGACAAACTATTGCTACAGATCCTCTTGAAGAGCCAGTGCCTGACAGATCTATAATACATAACACCCAGGTTACCGATTGGAATGTACTCAAAAATTAAAATTTCTTCTTTCTTACATACACACACTTCACAATCATTGGTTAATAGTAACTATTTGCTAAAGACATCTCTTGTGCAGGTGTAGAATTTTACCCTAGATTTAAACAGAGATTTGAAATAACTAACGTATTTTAACTAAGATTTTATTAAATGTCAGTATGTTTCAAAATCCATCTTAAGACTGGATTTCAAAGGAGAGATTTCATTATACATGGTTGAGGCTTGAAAAAACCTCTAATTCACTTACATACACACACTTCACAATCATTGGTTAATAGTAACTATTTGCTAAAGACATCTCTTGTGCAGGTGTAGAATTTTACCCTAGATTTAAACAGAGATTTGAAATAACTAACGTATTTTAACTAAGATTTTATTAAATGTCAGTATGTTTCAAAATCCATCTTAAGACTGGATTTCAAAGGAGAGATTTCATTATACATGGTTGAGGCTTGAAAAAAACTATATTTCACTCTCCAATGAAAGCACAGCCTCATTCATAATTGACTATTTCTTCCTTGAAATGAAAGCTAGCTAGCTAATGAAAAAAAATGTAATTTGTATTTATATGATATTTTCCCAGTATTAAATACACTATTCCTATATAATCCATCATGCTGAGATACAATACATAAATGATTCTGTTGCATTCAATGAACTGGAAGGGATAAATTTTTAAAAGAAATCAAGTATTGACTACACTATAATTTTATGTAATTTATTATGAACCAGTGACTACCTACATTTATTAAAACAGCAAAATTCATTTTAGGCTAGGTTGTGTAATTCTTGCTTCAGAGGAATATGGTTACTTTTTATTGAAATTGATTGAGATTCCCAGCTGGGATTCCATAAATTAATATAGCTTACTAACTTTCATGGAAATACGGCTATTTGTGCCAGCTGAGAATCTGACCAAATGAACCCACTTTTGTGGACCCATACTCACCAACACTAGCTGTCATTCAACAATATATCTCCTAAAATAAGGGGCTATTATTATGGCTGAAGAAATAGACTCTCACTATCAAAGTATCCATTACTGTTAATTGCACCTTCAAGCCATGTTGGGAAAAAATCCAGCAACTGCATATGCACAGGGAATGAAGAGTGGGTATCGCACTGTACAGAACAGAGAACAAAGCACTAGCACGCACTGGGGCAGTGCACTGCAGCTAAACATGGGCAGCTTGGGCACCTCACGTGAGTCCAGTTTCATGGCAGAAATGAAAGCACAAGGGGTTCTGCACAAACTGTCAAAAAATACCTTTCAGATTTCATAATATTATTAATATGTGACATTTTCTGTAGAGCCATTTATTGGTGTGTACTCCTGGTAACATCTGGATGAATAAACTAGGAAGGAAAAACACAATGAAACAAAAAATACGTTATTTTAGGGAAATGTAAATTTCTGCCATGTATAAAGATGGATAAATACCATGTTTTGCATCATTTCAAAAGTAGGCATATGCCTTTAATAAATTCTCCAAATATTTTAAATTTGAGGAAAAAAATTTGAACTTCAGCCAACATTTCAGTGAAAGTCGATTTCCTGCTGAATGACTGGCTCTTTGTCATTTGACTTTTTCAGTAAGTGTCTTGCAAAATACAGCAAAAGCAATATACCTGCGAGTAATCCAACTGGCATGTGTACATGACATTTAGGTCTGTTTCTAGTTGTTAAACCGGTTTGTTTGATCAGGTCACCAGTATGTAATCAGCAAGCTAATAATCACTGTACATTAATTAAGAAAAGAACAGAAGTGCAGTTGGTATGCTTCCATTTGCAGCAGTCATGGAAACACACACCTTATAATTTCCATTGAGACTGTTTCCAAGAAGGCAGAAGGAAAAGAATGTACACACCAGCTCCACAGCACGGGTTCAAACCCCTGTCATTTTGTGGGTTGGGACTTCATTTTTTAAATAAATCTCAGACTAAAAAAAATTACTGCTAATTTTTTGCTAGTTTCATGTGAACTGAAATATCGATGCCTGATTTCTGCGGCAATTTTTAATTATCACTCAAACGCAGAGTATGTTAAAGAAAACAGTAAAAAGCCACCTACTAGTAAGTATAAGCAGATTAAACTCTGTTCTCGACTACTCCATCTAATCACTGGGACAGTAATAGACAACGAACAAAAATAAATTTTCACAATCTCACAATAAAGATTGTATGGAATGACATATTCTTGACTAATGCAAACACATGAACTCTGCAGGTTTATGCTTGCCTAATTTGGCCACGTGCTTCCAACAACCTCTTCCTGATATCAGTAAATCAAGTCAGCTAGAGAACTAAGAACTTACCTGGTTCAAAAACATATAGGTCGGTTTTCAAAGTTTACTAGCTCCTCTATCTAGGGAACAACTACATAGCATCTACTCAGCTTCTTCCCTGATTTGAAATACTTAAAAATACAGAGTCATGCAGACAAAAATAAATAAGCCTTTAAAAATAACAGTTTCTTTCAACTGTTTTCTCTGACAGTGTTTTTTTTTCCCAGTTGTTATGTTGATATATTACCTTCAACAGCCCGAATACAGCTTAATCAGTTACTTTAGTACTATGCTTTACCTTCTGCATTTCTTTAAAATTTTTGATTCAATTTAATAGTATTACACTCATTACTTATACCGATCATGTTATTAAGCACCTGTGGCACATGTACTATGTCTGCTTTTATTTCAGCTGGAACAGGGTCAAGGTCCCACCCCTGTTCTGCCGAGAAATGCTTTTCAATAACTGCTGATTAAGTGTGACGTTACAACCAACAACTGCTATAATGACACAGCAATGCAAATCCAAATAATTCCCGCTACTGAAATTCATCTGAGTGTCACAGTGAGCTGACAGTAAACAGCTCTGAGATATGATTAGACTCTTAAATAAAACAGTAAAATTTCAAACTGAAATGGTTTAAGAATTTAGTTGAATAGTTAATTCCAGAGAGAGAGTCTTGATGTTTGTCTTCTCATTTCAGCAGTTCTTTTCCTATTAGCACTTTATAAAAGAATGTGAGGTAATCTAAGGAGAGGTGATTCTGAAATGCTTCAGATTAGCTACATGATAAACAGTTAAGAATTCCCAAATGCACTAGGTAAAAACTCAATTTCTAATCTTAAATGGGAGTACTGAAGGCAAATGAAGTCTCCATAACTTCATTCTAGATTTTGCATGAAGCTCTGAAAAAACTATTAATTCCTTTATAAAACAAGTAAATGCTTGTCTCGTACACAACACAGGAGATTTTGAGTGGTTTGGTAGTTTACTTATTCACTTGTACTTATTCTATTTCATGAATATTTATTGATATGACCATAAATCTCAAATATTTTTTCAAATAACATAGATAAACAAGAAGCAGTAGAAAACAGTACCATTAGTGACAGCAACGAAGGAGTCAATGTGGCAGAAACCTGTATGGCTTAGTGGACACAGTAGTCCACTTTGAAAAATCACCACATATAATTTGATACAAATAACAATATCTACTGAGGAGAGGCTGACGAGTGAGCTGCATGTGCCTTCATGGAGAAAATTACTTCTGATTGAGGCCACTTGGCAGCACAGTGTGGGGAAATCTGAACTGTGCTCCCTAATTTGTAGCAGATTTACAGACACTCAAGCACATATTTTTTAGCACTATTAATGTATTAAATGCTAAAAAAAAAATCTTTCTCAAATAGTGATATACTTCAATATAAATGCAAACATATAGATACAAACACACAAAGATCGCTAGCTAAGCGTCAATCTTTACACAATGAGTAACAGATGCTATCTCAACACTTGAAAGGATAGGCCACGTTTAGCAAAACAAAACCAACGCTGTAAGAATTTTAGTAACGTGAAAAAGTGTGAGAATGAACCACCAAAAAAGGGTTTACATTTACTTAACAAAAGACGCTTTTGCTACAATAAACACTCCTCTGAACACAAATTTGAGCATTGGACCCCTTGAGCATGTTAGTCCTGATACAGCAATGCGTGACTCCAGTTTTATGGTACTATAACTGTAATGCAATAATTGAAATTCAGTAACATTGAACTGGGTAAGTTCTGTAATCATTTCTCATAGTCAAATTCATCAGACTTCTCCCTAAATGAAACCACTTAAATGCACGCTCAAATTAAGCACATGCTTATATCCTCTCCTGTCCAGTGCTTTGCACTT